AGACCCTGCATTAACCGACCCGACTCTGGGCACGATGCGTTCCCCGCCACGCTCTGGGCGCGATGCGTTCCCCGCCGCGTCTCCCGCCCAGGTAACGTCGGTGGGAAGTGCGCGCCGCCGCCGCACGTGCCGTGTGGTAACCGCGCCATACCGGAAACCGGCAATATCCGGTCTGACCCGGCCCGGTCGGCTGGAGCGCAGTGTGACTCATCCCCGCCAGCGGCGGTGTGGGTGGACTGCGCACCGCGGCCGGCCGGAGAGGCGACGAGTGGAGGGGCAGGGCACGCAGGTGGTGAATGCGGGGGGGGGGGGGACCGGAGACGAGCGGCGTAGCTAGTTTAGCTGAGCTGATTTGTTGGACTCCCTGCTAGTTTATTCTTCAGCCTCGAACTCTGTATATTCCTCAGCCTCGCGGTCGGTCAGTTGATCTCTCGGCCTCGCGGTCCGCCGCGACTGTTTGCCGATTATGCTGTGGTGGCGTCCACAGAGGCTCGCTGTCGGCCTGAGTCACATGATACCCGCTTGTCCCCGATAGTGGGCCGCCGTGTGCCCGTTCCGCTCAATCCGCTCTCCGCCGGAGACGCTGAGCCGCCGGTAATGAGGCCGGCCGTACCGTCCACTGCGGCATTGTGCTATTGTTGATACGCTGCGGTGTCGGCTTATCCCGTGCGGCGCGATAGGGCAGCCTGAGTGGCCATGGAGAGCTGCCTCCCCCCCCCCCTCAGTGACCGGCTCAGTAGCCATGGTGAACCCCCTCCCCTCCCTGCCGGCCTGGCTCAGTGGCCATGGTGAGCTGCCCCCCCCCCCCCTCATCCCGCTTGCCATGGCTCACTGAGTGATGACCCCCCTCCCCCCGTGGCTGGCTCAGTTGCTCAATGGTGACCCGCTCCACCTGTATGCTGTGGCTGGCGGGTCTGCGGTACACTGTCCCGTCGTGCCGGTGCTGTGATTAGTCTGTACCACTCGGTGGCAGTGTGTATCGTCCCGCGGCTCACTGTCTGCGGTGTATACCGGCCCCCGGCCCGCTGTCGGATGTACCGGCCCCGACCCACTCGGCGGCAGCTTTAGCGGGAAATCAGCTATCAGTTGCGTAATGACTACACTACATCCTACTGATCTTCACCGGCGACCGCGCGTAAGTTCATGTAAGGTTTTATAAAACTCCAGCGGAGGTCACAACATTCACAGAATCACTGTTCATTAATGTTAAATTACACCAATTTTATCCACACTAAAGCTTCCCATAAGCCTTCGATTGCTGCTCAGATGATCGTTGTTCATATATGTATCCAACTTCCTACATCTCCGAAACCCGCACATTCAGATTTGCCTGTCTGGGTCCGTCTGTGTGCTTCTGACCGATACACACATCACTCGATCTGTAGTAGGTATTTCGTTCTGGCGGTGCACCGCAGTGTTTTCACACGCCGGTGCCGGTACTGCTGGCGCAGTTTTACCGCGGCCGCCGTACGATACCGTCTGGGAGTGGGGTAGCTCCCAGCGCCCCCGCCGCCGCCGCCTCTGTTCAAATCCCCTGGGAGCGCGTGCACCACTCCCTGCCGATCAGCGCCGATTGAGCTGCGGGGGGGGGGAGGCAGTCACAGTGCTCCCGACTCCGGTCCGCCTCGTCTCTCTCCCCCCCCCCCCCTCCAGGGCAACTGCGCCGGGTTCCGACTGTTTTCCTCTGCCACAAGGCGGCGTCGATTGGGCTGCGGGAGCGCCACTGCGCCGGGCCCCGGACAGCTGTACGAGTATGTCCGCCGGGCTGGGGACTGAGACAGGTCGATTTGCCGTCGCCCGGCTGGTGATAAGGACCGATTGAGACAGTTAGGTGGAGAGCCGACGGACATGACTCGAGACGATGACTGTGCATAAATGGAACTTGCTGAGGTCATCCACATCTAATGTGGTAACGAATTAGTGTTTACCTTATGTGATGCCGTCATTAAATCTGGCTCAGTTGGAAAGTTCGCGCAGATGTTTTTTCGCTGAAGTCGTTAGGAATTGCGCCGTCATGTGAAACTCAACATCTGAAGAACAGGATGGCAGTGAATTAAAGGCAATGAAAATTTTTAGGCACTGGGTGAGAAATTAAGTAAAGCAAATGCATGCCGGAGGACAAATTGAAGGCGAAGCTCAAAACTGAATTTATTAGACCTTAATAAGATTTGGCACCTAGTCAGAGTAACCGTTACGAGCCTTATAATACATCAAGTGCTGCTTCAACGTCTCAGGAGATATGAAATGCTCTTCACGGACAGCTGGCGCTCGCCGAATTCCTCAGCTCTTTATTTCCTTTGCTATAATTCTTCTCTACATTTTTTAACGGTCGTCCGACAGGAGTATTTTCGCTCATTACGCGTCTGCGGCTCAGCCCTGACCTCTGTCTGCCGATACCGGCTGACGGTCGGAGGGCTGTCCGCGGCGGTGGGTCGCTCTCTGCACTGCTCCGGGCCGGCGCTCGTCGCTGCCCTGCTGTCACTGTCCCGGTGTCTGCCTGCTCTCGTCACTGCTCCGGTGTCAGTGTGCGCGGTGTCGCCGCCCCGGTGTCTTGCCGGCTGCGGCGTCGCCGGATGACGGACGGCCGACACGGTCCGGGTGACGGCACCCGGCGCTGTCCGCTGTCGTTTCAGCTAAGGCGATTAACGGGCCGTCGTTTCACCGCGAACACACCGTGTTCGGCTGGCCACAGACTCGCTACGTTGATCCAACAATAATCACCCGTCCAATTAAATGGTGAACGACGGCCGGGTGCAGTCGTCGAAATCCGTTGATATTGCCTTTAATGGACAGTTTATCACGAGCTGTCTGTTTTAGATCGGCTATATTTTGGTTGAAAAGTGCACAAATGGGCATCGTTTGTGTTTTTTTTTACGACTAGAACGAGACGCGTGATACGCTGGCCGCTTCCCGTTCCGGTCCGTTGTCCTGAGAACTTTGTGTCGTTTTCTGAAATTGCCTCAACGAAGGAACTTACGACCCAATGAGCGTGATTTGATTTGATCTTATCATTTGGTGCACCGTCAGGAAGGAGTTTGCAGGGACTGTACAAAAGTAGCTATAAGATCATTAAAGCTGATTTTATTTTCGTGAGCGACAGCTTGCCGAGTTTGTCATATGTCATATGGTATTTTCCAGTTGTATTGATGTGTCGCTTCGAGTGTAAGATGGTGGACTTTTTGTGAAAACCGTGTTTAGATCTTCTTGAACATACTCGTGATATATTTGTCGCAACATTGCAGGTTTTGTAGTATTTCGAAATTGCAATCGCAATCGGCTGGTTTGACGGGATCCCTGTTTGCGTTTTTCAAACACCGACTTCGGATTTTCACATACCTTTTTTAACTCGATTCTTTCTATAGGCGTCCTATGTTTGTTGACTACCTGTGATGCATGTTTATTGGAATGTCGCCCCTTCTCCTTTAACCACCTTGTGCAGTGACCACGCATGAATAAGCAATAATTAAGGCGTGTCTGCACACGAGTCTCGGCTTGAGCCCCGCGATCCGGGAGGCGGACTACACCAGCTCTAGTCCCGCTGCCGGGGGGGGGGGATGTTCCGCACCCCCCCCCCCCCCCCCCGCCGCCACCCCCGCTCCGCGTCACGGCTGGTTCGTCCGTCTGCTGCTGGTCTCTGCCGCCCCTGGCTGCCCCGCCCGCTGCTCTACACCGTCTCAGGGGACCGGAGGGAGCCGGCCAGTGCCGACCGATCGGCGGCGGCACGCGTCACTGGTCACCACTACACGATGCCATCACGAAGAGAGATGGGCCGTGTAATCCGCTGCGGGGGTCCGGACGGAAAGGCCGACATAGCAGTCGGGATCAGCCGCGGACGGTGGTATTTCGAGTGCCCGTTCCTATACCTAGGAAACCTGGCTGCCGACATCAGCAGCACGGCATTCGGAGCGTGTGGGCGACTGCAGCAACTCACAAAACACTATCACCCACTATCGGCTCGGGAGCCCCGGAGACTTCTTTACGTCATAGCACACTACCACTGAACAGCCCTGTGTGCTGGGTGGGTGTCAAATCGGCCGTTTGGCTGGGAACGAGATGCGCAGGAAGGAGACACCCTTCTGCTGACTGTCTCTCTCTCTCTCTCTCTCTCTCTCTCTCTCTCTCTCTCTCTCTCTCTCTCTCTCTCTCTCTCTCTCTCTCTCTCTCTCTCTCTCTCTCTCTCTCTCTCTCTCTCTCTCTCTCTCTCTCTCTCTCTCTCTCTCTCTCGCTCTCGCTCTCGCTCTCGCTCTCGCTCTCGCTCTCCTTGAACCTGGTCTGGTCGTTCTGTAGTCCCGGCCCGTCAGGAGTGAGTTGATCAAATGATCAGGTGATCAGCTATCGGTTTTCGCTCTGGTGTGGACCCGGGCCGTCAGAAGATCTGGTGGCTGGCTGTCAGCGGACACCTCGGCCGTGGGCGGCGCTGAGTTGGCGCTCCGTCAGCTCAGCTGCCGAGCTGTGTTATATGGTACAGAGCCGGTAACAGCTCCCCCCGCAGATCAATCATCTAATGGTGCTCGTGAGCCGAGGCTCAGCTGGTGTCACCGGAATTCCCTCCGTGGCGTGTGTCATCTTTCCTGACGTCATTTTTGGAAAGCTCATCGATAATGATTAATTCTCATGATATCATACAGGATATATTATCGATTTGTTATCCCAAGCCTCCCACTAGCCCGTTGGCAGGATTCAGATGGTCCCTGTTCTGACAGAAATTGTCCCCCCCCCCCCCACCTTTGCCTGACAGTCTGCGGACGACCTCAGAGGGCGCTCGAACGGGCACACTCCCCACACCACATATTCTGTTGGCTGACAGTTGACGTTGACCCCTTCCCTCCGTCTGCACAGTGTGGATGCTGAGACTGACCCCCTCCTTCCCTCCCTCCCTCTGCAGAGTCTTAACTGAGACTGACCTTTCCCTCGCTCCACAGAGTCTGGTGACTGAGACTGACCTTTCCCTCGCTCACAGAGTCTGTTGACTGAGGCTGACCCCTTCCCTCCCCCTGCAGAGTCTGCGGACGGCCTCGCCGTCTCAGGTGCTGGACCCGAGCGAGGTGCAGGAGGCGATCCGGCTGCACTTCAGCCAGCTGCACGGGCAGCTGCAGCTGCGGCAGCTGGCGCTCACCGAGCAGCTGCTGCAGGCCGCCCAGTCGCAGCGCACTGCCATCCGCGACACGGTCAGTGGACGGGACACGGGGGGGGGGGGGCGGTGGCCGCCCAGGGAGCGGGCGGTGGCCGCCCGGTGTAGGTGAACCTGGCGAACATGGGACGAACCAGAGCTGTCGGCAGTCCGGGAACAGAAGGATAATTCCACCCTGCACAGTGGCAGTGCTAAGGCGGTTTGTTCAAAGCCCCTGCATGGTGGGCCATTCGAGTCCTCGCTGCAATGGTAGGTCGTCATCGGTTATGCATGTACATTACCCGGGAAATATCCTTGAGGGAACCGAACGACTTGTGTACTGACCGCGTTGTCATGTGTTTTGTTTTCGTTAGGACTACCTGTGTTATGCGGTAATTCATCGCTAGCCGTTTGTATTTTATCTGCTTATTGGTGGCTATTCTGAAGGGCATAATGCTTGTCTAAGAGGAAAGGTATCCAAAGTTTTTGAGGCACATATCTGTGTTGAATCAGCTTCGACTTTCGGAACTCTACTCTGGTCAGTTCTCACTGGTGGGGCCCTGGTCACAATTGACCGGCGTTTGGCAGTGCTGCTACTGCAACAATTAACGTCGTTTGCCTCCTTACTGTCTTTAAGCCTGCCTTGAAGGGACCTTCACTCAGGCATGCATACACTGCTGCACTGTAGCTGGAGCGGTCTTTTGGTATATGTGAAGAGGTCATAGCGAATACCCAGAGATGGTAATTTCTCTTGCGACTCCTTTGATTGGACTCTCTGATTGACTTTTTATACTCTGACAAACGGTTTGTAAATATGAGCGTGAGAGTCGTCTCGCTGCGCTCCCGTCGGTTCTGAGGAGCAAGAACATCAACACGCCAATCTGCAAGTCCGTCGTATCCTAGCACGTGTTTCACCGACTGCAAGGGTAGATTCAGATCCATCAATTTGTGGTGACCTTCAAAGGGAAAGCACTTAATTAAAATGCCGACAAGCTTCTTGACTATTTAAAGTACCTAGAGAATTAAAAGACCCTTGAATGTATGTGTGTATTTTTTAATGACTTAAGATCAAGGTACACGGAGGCTGGTGCGTCCTCAAATATCTTGTCACTGTACGCTGTCTCACTAATTCTGGTTAAAACGCGGAATATTTCGTCTTCCAGGACTTAGCTGCCACTGGCTCTGTCCATAAATCCACCTCGGCGACACGGATGGCAGCCCGGCCCGGCGGCCCATCTGCTCCCGTTGGGGGGGGGGGGGGGTGCTGAATTTAACGGCAGTTGGCCTCGCGGTCGGGTGACGGGTGCTGGGGTGACACGCGGCGGCAGATCAGTGGCCGGGCCGCCCCGCTGGCAGGCTGGGGGAGTGGAGTTAGATTAGTGGCAGGCTGGGGGAAGGTTAGTGGCCGCCCTCCTAGGAGTATGAGTTAGTTAGCTCGCATCGGCTGGCCGGCCGGGAGAATAGAGTTTGCTCTCAGTGGCCGGCTGGGAGTGGAGTTAGCTTGGAGTGAGCAGCTGGGGAGGAAAGTTAGCTCAGTGCAGTGGCCGGCCGGCTGGGGAGGGGAGTCAGCTGTGTGGATCGACAACGCACATGGAGTTGGCTGGGTCTGCTGTCAGCGGTGGTCAGTGCTGTAGCAGCGTTTCGTTTTTCTTCTTTCGTTGATTAATTTCTGCTTCGTTGGTAGACAGTACCCATATTGACAACAATTGCTTCAAAGCTGTTATAATAGTGCCAGCATTTTGCATTTCTTTCCATCGCATACCTCTTCAAGGCTACGCAAGTTTTCACAATGCGCCACTCAACGGTCTGACCAAGGGTCTGACTATCCAATCGTATCGATTTCAGTGTTTTGTGAGGCTTCAGTGCATGGTTGATTGCTTTTGGCGTATGCTAGATATGAAAGTGAAAACAGCAATGTGGGATTGCGATAAGCAAACACCAGTATCAAACTCGTGGTGAGGGGTGTTGGCACGGAATGACACTTCAAATTTGGATCTGACATGTTTGTCTTGCCGGAGACACGCTTGCGCCCACCTTTCCTCGCATTCCGGCGCCTCAGCGGGGATTGAGTTGTCACGGGTGAGAGGAGTTGTCACTGGTGAGTGGAGTAGTCACTGGTGAGTGAGCGGTGCGTCGCCGCGGAGGTGTTTTCCTCGAGCGGCGCGCGCTGCCGTGTGTGGGTGCCGGTGTCGGTGGGACCGTGTTTTGAGGTGTCGTGTCAGTCAGGGCCGGCTGACTGACCGCTGGTATTTACTGCCATCTGCGTACCGGGTAGTGCAGAAGGACTGAACTCTGGTAGTCCGCTGGGACTGACAGGCTGATCTGCGTTCTGGGTAGTCAGGAGGGACAGGACCAGGACCCGGGTTTTCGGGAGTGACAGAATGCGTGTCTGGGGTGACAAGCCGGCCTGGTCAAGACCGGGACGGTGGCTACATGAAATATCGCCATCGCTCCTATACATATGTATTATATAACCACACCACGCGCTTGTCTGATTTACATATCGTCATCAAACAGCCGGCCGGACCGTCCTCCGAGCGGGCGGCGGCCCTCCGGTTCGACGTTGGCACGTTATTCAGCAATGAATAGTGAAGGGCAACGGGACAAATTATCGAAGTTTCCAATTTCGAATGTGTTTGATTTAGTTACTGCCTTTGTGAAATGAAGCATCTCTTCACGTTGGGTGAAGCAGATGCCGATTGCCATTAGTAATGCTTTTTCACATGTTTGGCGTTGACTCGACACATGCGTTAGCGGTTTGACGTTGCCACCTGTGGGAGGCTGTGGGAGACACTTAGGTCGCTACGCTCGCCGTCCGTACTGCTCATGACGTCCCCACTCCACGGCAGAGCTCAGCCCGGCCGGACCGCGCCAACTGGAAACTTGGCGTGGAGGCGCCCTTTGACAGCGCTGCTGATTGATCAGCCATAAAATATACTGAAGAATCACTTTTTTCGACAGTCAATAAGGATGTCTATTTTTACATCAAGATTTGTTGCAGCTTACCGTGGTTGAAACTCCTAAAATCGGTGGTCTTATTGCTTAAGCACTACTCAGAACTATCACGCAACGGGCGCACCAACAGGTGCGTTACTATTTGCTCCGCTATAAATTCGATATTTTTAGAGGTATAAGTGATGTTTTCTTCTTTTGTCACGTAATTCTAAGGAGTAAGCTTTTATATCACTGCCGAAAACTAAAAGCATATTTAGTTTATATTTTATTCAGTCAAACCTTTTGATACGAGTCTTATTTGTTTTTTCTGTGTTTTTGTTTTCTTTTGTTATTTCTTTTTCTTTGTTTCTTTTTGGCGTTTCGTATGCGTACACATTACCTTCACATACCTATTTTGCAGTAGATTGCTGCCGCGCTTAAAGTTTAAAATTAAACGTTTTTACCTTTGCGGCCACTTCTATTTGAACCACCGTTCATTGCTTGATAACCACACAGTAACTGGTTCAAAGTACGCCCTTGACTCGGATAATTAATTGACAAAAAGTGCATACTTGTTTTACGGAAACTAAGATGGCGTCACTGAAGGCATTTAGCAAAATGTTCCGTGCCTTGCGCTTTTGTCGGTCAGTCAGCGCCGGCCGTTCGACAGAGCTACTCGCGGTGCGGGCACAGGTGATGAGTCACCATCTAGTAGCTAGCAGCTCCCCGTCTTCTGGTGATGTGAGGAGATGCTGGACTCGGCCGGCTTATAGGCCCCTATCTGCCGGACGCCGGATTTACAGATGATTTACCGCCCGTGACTACCGTTGGGCATCCCATCAGAGGGGACTCCGCTGATCGAGAGGGGAGATACCGCTGATCCAGAGGTGACGCCGCTGATCTAGAGGTGGCGCCGCTGGTCCAGAGGTGACGCCGCTGATCCAGAGGTGGCGCCGCTGATCCAGAAGTGATACCGCTGATCCAGAGGGGACGCCGCTGATCCAGAGGTGACGCCGCTGATCCATCAGAGGTGACGCCGCTGATCCAGAGGTGACGCCGCTGGTCCAGAGGTGACGCCGCTGATGCAGAGGTGACGCCGCTGATCCAGAGGTGACGCCGCTGATCTATCAGAGCCCAGAGGTGACGCCGCTGATCCAGAGGGGACGCTGCTGATCCAGCAGACAGAGGTGGATGGCGAACGTGTTAGTGCTTATGGGCAAGAGTGGGACTGTTTGCTTATTCGAATATCGTTCTCTAGTAAGCACGTCAGACGTACACTCCCCTACTAAGTGATGTTCGCCCCCCGACGGCCCAGCGTTTGACTGGAGCGGTAGACTGCGCCGTCTCACACCCAGGCTCAGCGGCACAGCACATCCCTCTGGCCTCAACGGTAGACTGTGCCGCCTCACACCCACGCTCAGCGGCACAGTATATCTCTCTGGCCTCACACTCGCTACAGACGCGTTTGACCGGGTCAGGGACGCGCCGCGCTGGTTGCCTTATCGCTCACAGTCACATATCTGTGGCTAGGGGGCCTGCTGCGAATCGCTGGTCTTTCTGTGTCGACTCGAATATGATGCTTGTAAGTGGTCACGATCGCATTTAGCTCAGTAAGATTAGTTATAGCAATTTATATCGTTTATTTTCTCCCGGGTGGGGTGGGGGGGGGGGTGTTTGCCCACACTTGCCAATGTTTGTGTGTGTCTGTAACGGAAACTGCGGCGCACAGCGACGCAAAACTTGGCACAAGTTATGAATTTCGTATCGTGTCTGGAATTGTTGACACCTGGTCACATCATAAAGTCAGGTCAAAATGTTCCTCTTTTTAGCGATGGCACCCGGATACAGGTGAATAATGGCACACCGAATCACAAAATTCCACTCTTGACCCATTTTATGCCCCTGAAGTCATCTCACATCATGATACGTCTCCGTAACCCTCGCCGGCACGGGGGGAACTGAATGCACCCGCCACCCCCCCCCCCCCCCCACCCAAGGCTTCAAGCGAATAACTCGCGTAAAAAGCAGCCGATTGCGACAAAGCTTTCAGTACCCTCGCATTGATCAATTTCACATCTACCCTGAAAATTTCATGACCCTGACCAAAATGACCGTTGACATGTG